CAGTTCATTTGAAACGAACTGTTTGAAACGGCTCATTTTGTTCAAAAAAAAGTGTTCCAGTAACACCAGCACCAGGGAATATATCCGTTTCTCTTGTTAAAACTATTTGTTTTGGGAAGGTGATCTGTGGGCACCACTATTTGACATAAAATCGAATTTTTGGCCTACCATGCTACTTTACGATGACCATGGTAAAAGAAAGATTTGTTACAAACAGTGAACATCGTTCTTTCCTCTTCGTAAACTACAAAATATTTCATTAATGACGCACAGTGTACTCTTATAAAATTTTGTTTCATGCATAGAAAACGTTTGATTTCTATGCATTTGACACAGAGTTGATGCTAATTATGTCAGAATCATTTTTCATTGAGTGAAATCTACACAATTTCCCATTCATGACTGCGAGTTTTGAAAGTTTCTACGGTGCGATGTGGTTTTTTTGACACTCACTGTAATGAATATTTTCTCGTAGATTGGACCAACACTGGCAGTATGAGTAGTGCTCGACAATTTCACACAGCATCCGTATTAACAAATGGAAAAGTGTTAGTTGCTGGTGGATACAACGGTTCTTATTTGAAGAGTGCTGAGTTATATGATCCATCAACAGGAACCTGGACCAACACTGACACTATGAGTACTGCTCGAAGAGAGCACACAGCATCAATATTAACAAATGGAAAAGTGTTAGTTACTGGTGGATTTAGCGGTTCTTATTTGAAGAGTGCTGAGTTATATGATCCATCAACAGGAACCTGGACCAACACTAGCAGTATGAGTACTGCTCGAGGATCTCACACAGCATCCGTATTAACAAATGGAAAAGTGTTAGTTTCTGGTGGATCGGGCGGTTCTACTTTGAATAGTGCTGAATTATATGATCCATCAACAGGAACCTGGACCAATACTGGCAGTATGAGTACTGCTCGAGAACTTCACAAAGCATCCGTATTAACAAATGGGAAAGTGTTAGTTGCTGGTGGATTAGGCGGTACGTAGGTGAAGTTAGCCTCATATTCGAGTAAATCCAGCCAAGATTCGGCGCCAAACCCGCCACACCTGCGCCAAACAGCGCCAGAATATCAACTCGACGAGCCCTATCGACTGGTAACTTTGGATTTTCCCTAGCTCCAACCATTCGCGAAAAAATCCCAAACTGCTAGTTTTTTTCCATGCAAATTTTAGCATATGGAGAGTAAATCCAGCCAAGATTCGGCGCCAAAGCTGACACAGCTGCGCCAGACAGCCCCAAAATACAACTCGACGAGCTCTATCGATTGGTAACGTTGGATTTTCCCCAGCTCCCACCATTCGCGAAAAAATCCCAAAATACTAGTTTTTTCCATGCAAATTTTAGCATATCGATAGTAAATCAGAGCCAAGATTCGGCGCCAAAGCTGCCACAGCTGCGCCAGACAGCCCCAAAATACAACTCGATGAGCTCCATCGATTGGTAGCGTTGGATTTTCCCTAGCTCCCACCATTCGCGAAAAAATCACAAAATACTAGTTTTTTTCTATGCAAATTTTAGCATATCGATAGTAAATCCAGCCAAGATTCGGCGTCAAACCCGCCACACCTGCGCCAAACAGCGCCAGAATATCAACTCAATGAGCCCTATCGACTGGTAACTTTGGATTTTCCCTAGCTCCAACCATTCGCGAAAAAATCCCAAAATACTAGTTTTTTTCTATGCAAATTTTAGCATATCGAGAGTAAATCCAGCCAAGATTCAGCGCCAAAGCTGGCACAGCTGCGCCAGACAGCTCCAAAATACAACTCGACGAGCTCTATTGATTGCTAACGTTGGCTTTTCCTAGCTCCAACCATTCATGAAAAAATTACTATTCATATGCTAAAATTTCCACAGGAAAAAACTAGTATTTTGGAATTTTTTCATGAATAGTTGGAGCTAGGGAAAATCCAAAGTTACCAATCAATAGAGCTCGTCGAGTTGTATTCCGGCGCTGTCTGGCGCAGCTCGGGCGGCTTTAGCGGGGAATCTTGGCTGGATTTAAGATGCATATGGTAAGATTTGCATAGCAAAACACTAGTATTTTGGAATTTTTTCACGAATGGTTCAAGCTATGCAAAATCCAAAGTTACCAATCGATAGAGCTAGCAGAGTTGTATTTTGGTGCTGTCTGGCGCAACTATGGCAGCTTTGGCGCTGAATCTTGGCTGGATTTACTATCGGTATGGTAAGATTTGCATAAAAAATAACAAGTATTTTCTGATTTTTTCACGAATGGTTGGAGCTAGAGAAAATCCAAAGTTACCAATTGATAGAGCTCGTCGAGTTGTATTGTGGGGCTGTCTGGCGCAGCTGTGTCAGCTTTGGCGCTGAATCTTGGCTGGATTTACTGTCCATATGCTAAAATTTGCATTGGAAAAAACTAGTATTTTGGGATTTTTTCGCGAATGGTTGGAGCTAGGGAAAATCCAAAGTTACCAGTCGATAGGGTTCATCGAGTTGATATTCTGGCGCTGTTTGGCGCAGGTGTGGCGGGTTTGGCGCCGAATCTTGGCTGGATTTACTCTCGATATGCTAAAATTTGCATAGAAAAAAACTAGTATTTTGGGATTTTTTCGCGAATGGTGGGAGCTAGGGAAAATCCAACGTTACCAATCGATAGAGCTCATCGAGTTGTATTTTGGGGTTGTCTGGCGCTGCTGTGGCGGGTTTGGCGCCGAATCTTGGCTGGATTTACTATCGATATGCTAAAATTTGCATAGAAAAAAACTAGTATTTTGGGATTTTTTCGCGAATGGTGGGAGCTGGGGAAAATCCAACGTTACCAATCGATAGAGCTCGTCGAGTTGTATTTTGGGGCTGTCTGGCGCAGCTGTGGCAGCTTTAGCGCCGAATCTTGGCTGGATTTACTATCGATATGCTAAAATTTGCATAGAAAAAAACTAGTATTTCGGGATTTTTTCGCGAATGGTGGGAGCTAGGGAAAATCCAAAGTTACCAGTCGATAGGGCTCGTCGAGTTGATATTCTGGCGCTGTTTGGCGCAGGTGTGGCGGGTTTGGCGCCGAATCTTGGCTGGATTTACTCGAATATGAGGCTAACTTTACCTACGTATTGTATCGATCTTTTGCTTTATTGAAAGACAAAAACAAATATCTCT